CCCCTCATGGCCCCTCATGGCCCTCCATAGCCCCCCACAGCCCCCTATGGCCTTCCATGGATCTCCATGGCCCCCCATGGCTCCCGATGTCTTTCCATGGGCCCTCATGGCACTCCATGCCCCCCCATGGACTCTCATGGCCCTCCATGGCCTTCCAAGGCCCCGCATGGCCCTCTGTAATCCTCCATGGCCCTCCATGGCCCCCCACAGCCCCCTGTGGCCCTCCATTGCCCTCCATGGCCCCCCATGGCCCCATGGCTCTGGACCCCACTGCTCCTGTTGCCTGGATCCCACTGAACCCCACGGTGCTGTACTTGTCCCTGTGCTACTGTCGCTGTCCCCATGTGCCAGGACCAACCCCGTGAGATCATCACCGGTCCCATAGAGACCCCTCACATGGCTGCAGTAATGGGCTAAGCTTTTCCAAGGAGCTGTCATCCATGGATTCAGAACCATCCCCATGGAGCCAGAACCATCTCTCTATGGATCCAGAACCATTCCCATGGAGCCAGGACCAATCTTATGGATCCAGAGCCATCCCCATGAAGCCAGAACCTTCTCTCCATGGATGCAGAACCATCCCCATGGAACCAGAACCATCCCCACGGATCCAGGACCTATCCTGTGGATCCAGAGCCATCCCCATGGAGCCAGAACCAACTCTCTATGGATCCAGAGCTACCCCCACGGATCCAGAACCATCCCCACGGATCCAGGACCTATCCTGTGGATCCAGAGCCATCCCCATGGAGCCAGAACCAACTCCTTGTGGATCCAGAGCTACCCCCACAGATCCAGAACCATCCCCATGGATCCAGGATCAATCATCTGGATTCAGAACCAGCCCTACGGAGCTCCCATCACCTCTGTCACTCTACCACCAGTCCCACAGTGCTATCCTCATCCCCATCTCCATCCCCATAGAGCTGCCCTTCCCACCTACACTCCCCTTCCCTACCCCCCCCCAGGCACCCACCAGCCCTTCAGCTCCGGGTCCCAACGAAGTGACCGCCAGGTCGTTGCCGTTTGGGTCGAAGGCGTTGATCTCGATGCCCCAATTGTTCTGAGGTTGCTTGAACCAGTTCTGCAACACGTGCTTGAAGTCGATGCTCTGCCAGTGCCCGATGCGGGAGTTGAGGTCGATTTTGAGCGAGCGGATGCGGATGTGACGGCTGCCTTCCTCCGTCACCGGCTTGAGGCGGAGGATTTGCAGGTAGACGGTGGAGGTGTGCTGCACCGGGCGCAGGTACACCCACAGCTGAGCCTTCACCACTTTGGTGAACATGATCTTGGGGCTGAAGTTGAAGAAGCAGCAGTGGGGGTTGCCCTCGATCTGCACCACGGGATCGGCTGCGGAAGGAAGGATGAGTTATAGGAGCTGCACCCCACCAGGAACACCCGTGCCCCCCATCTCTTGCACAACGCTCCTCCTCGATCGTTAGGAGGTGAAGGTCGGGGCAGAGGCCGCCCCGGGGGTCATCGCCCCTCCGTCCACAATAAGGTCCGGGTGCTGCCCCCTGACCCCGTGTCACCGCGGATTCATGATCCCCTGCAGGGCTGCAGGGATGGGGGAGCGGGTCCAGAGCACCTGCAGAGCCCGTGGTTGGGATGGGGCAGCCCTCACCCTCCCACCGCCTGCAGCCGGGAACCCACAGCATCCCTTGGATGGGGACCCACAGCGTTCCCAACCAGAGGCATTTCCCAGACAGAGACCCACAGCATCCTCAACTGGAGACCCACAGCATCCCCTGCATGGAGACCTGCAGCATCTTCAACCAGAAACAGGGAGCAACCCCGGGGGTGGAGACCTGCATCATCCCTGGCCAAACGCATTCCCTGCATGGAGACCCTCAGCAGCCCCCTGCCCCACTGCGTGCCCCCTCCCACGGACAGCTCACAGCAGAACACCAGGAAGGGTGCACAGTGCTGAGCTCCCCCTGAATGCAGTGCTGACACCCTGGAGCTGTGGGTGAGGCCACTTCATCCTGGGGTGATGCAGTGGGGAGGCTGCCCTGGGGACCCCCACCCATGGGTACCCCCATCCAAGGGTACTCCCCGATCCTCAACACCCCAAAGATGCACCCACCCTCCCCCAGCCCTACGGCAGCACCTGGTCCTGTGCAGCCCTCCCAGCTCTCACACACATCTGTGTCAAATTGAGCTGGGAATGTCCCCCCCCCCCACCTCTATAACTCCCCCTCATCCCCGCGAGCCCCCCCTTCTCCTGCCACGCACCGGTCAGGTTTAATAGCACCCAGCTGCAGCACGGGGCCATTTGCTGCACACGGGGCCCTCCCCGAACACATCGGGGTCACGACACCGGCCGCAGCCCCGGGAATGCCATCCATCCATCCATCCATCCGTCCGTCCATCCATCCATCCATCCATCCACCATGTGGCCTGCGTGCTCC